ACTGTAGTTCCGTGAGATGCCCCCACTGGGAGAAGCTGGGTGATGGGAATACAGGACCCCTCTATACCATTTTTTCAGTTTTGTGAATCTGTAATTAGTACTGTTGAAAAGGTAAACTGAGGCACTATAAAAATTTAAAGAGTTTATTTGAGCAAGCAATGATTCATGAATCCAGCAGCTCCAGACGGGAAGTGGTTGGGGAGCCTCACCAAGGGAACTCGAAGGGGAAGCTTTTATAGGATGAACATGGAAATAAAAGCAAAGAACATGTTTGATTGGTTCCAGTTATACAGTTGCCTTATTCGGTCTGTCCCGTTGGAAAGTCCCCAGTTTAATTATAAATTTGTTGCCTGCTTCTTATTGGTTGAGCTTAAGTTGTTTAACACAGGTATTTACAAGAAATAGCTAAAGTTAAGTTTCACTTTATTTTTTGCAAATCAGGCGAGGTTAAGGTCACTTATGAGGCCTCACCGCTTTGTCTGCTAAGGGATTCTTCAGGCCTCTTCTCCATTTTAATTCACTTTAACGGTATATAATAAAAAGTTCAAAATAATTTTTTAAAATATCTAATGAAGGGATAACAAATTTACCAGGGGCGGGAGGAGGGTGTTAACGTTGATTCTACTCTCTTGCTCACTGTTTTCCATATTGACTCCCTGATGGCTGGTTCTGCTGCATCCTCCAGTGAAAAGTAAGATATTTTTCCCTTCGTATGGGTAACTTGGATGTTTTCAGACACTAGGGAAAACAGGAAATAAGAAAGAGAAGGGAATTTTAGGATAGTTCTTCTCAATTTAGGATGCAGGTCAAGAGAAACCTTCCATCTACTGCCCCCGTTTCTGAAGGAGGCTCAGGATGGGTTGCAAGCTCTACACACCCTCTGTGGTTGCAAGGAAAGTTGAGAGTGTGTGTCTGGGATGCAGGTGGGTCTGAGGCTACACGTACGACTGGGCATGTGAGCCCTTAGCATATCAGGTCCCCAAGCTTTTTATCAGATTCTCAAAGACTAAGGACCACTGCCCCAGAATACAAGGAAGTATTGAGTTGCACGCATTTGTTGAGAAGGCTATTGAAGGATGAGGTCCAAAAAGAAGCAGAAGCCTTCTCCCTCCTCACCCACCAAGAGAGAAATGAGAGAAAACAATGGAGAGTCAAGGAGATGCTTTTCTGATAATCTTCCTAATCTTTGGAAGATAAATCTCCAAAGAAACTGGGTATATGGGGATTCGGGCCACCTGGATAAATGTGTCTCTGAAAGAGTCATGTCATAGGCATATCTAGAGTCACCCACCCTGGCCCCCAGCCTATCCCATGAAATCTGGATGATACTTTCATTTTTCTCCTTTGGGAGGATCTCTTTTGAGAACCAGCAGGGTGGGATGAGCCAGGAAGAAGACATTATTAACAGCTTTCTTTTTATGTTCTCTCCACGCTTCTGCTGGTGCCCAATGACACCTACTGAATTCTGTCCTCCTTGCTGCTCGGATGTCAACAGTACTGAAACGTAAGATTCTTGTTTCACATTTTCCCCCTTCTGCTCTGGTCCCATTCTCATCTCTGCCAAAGGGTCCACTCTTAGCCACAGATTATCTCTCAGCTTTTGTGTTAGTCCATTTCTGTGGCTTATAATAAAATACTTGAAACTGGGTGATGTGTGAGAAAACGAAATTTATAGCTTACAGTTTCTGAGGCTGGGAATTCCAAAGTCCATCTGGTGGTGGTGACAGTGACTCAGGGGTCTCACATTGCAAGATGGTGGA